ATCCCTCGATATTATGTACTTCTACCTAGCACTTTTTTGTCCGGTATTGCTAGGGTGACAGCTTCTGCTTATTAAAAAAAAAAAAAAAGTTAAGATACAACAGCGCTCAGGCAGGTGCCTTCAGGAGTATTCCAGAAGAAGGCATTGTCAATCCACAGGAGATGACAGCTCGCACGTGTGGTTATGCCCCCTGAAGGCCTTCAGTGGGACGACGATGTGGAATGGAAAGTGATGACTGAGTCGTCCTGGACCCCAGTAAACGGCCAGACTCTAATTGTGTGTGTTTGTGTCTTAGCTTTTTAACAAAGTTAAAAAGTAAAATTTAAAAAAAATCTAACAATTTTAAAAACCAGAAAAAACTTACAGAATAAGGGATAAAGACAGAGTGTATTTCTACAGGCTGTAAATGTGTGTTGTGTTTCAATTCTAAGTATTATTAAAAACAGAACAGTCAGAAAGTTTTGTATTTTATTTTTTCTGCGAGAGCGAGTCTCGCCGTGTCGCGTCCAGGCTTGGAGTGCAGTAGGCAGGCATTTGGCTCACGTCCACCCTTTGCCTCCGTGGGTTCAAGGGCTTCTCCTTTTTTTTAAAAAAAAAAGTTTTCATTCTTTTTTTTCCTTTTTTTTTTTTTAATTATACTTTAAGTTCTAGGGTACATGCACAGCATTGCAGGTTTGTTCATATGTATTACATGTGCTGATGTTGGGTGTGCTGCCACGCCATTAACTCGTCATTTACATTAGGCTATAATCCCTAATGCTATCCCTCCCCCGTCGCCACACAGACCCCACGACAGGACCCGGGGATAGTACTTTCCCTCAAACGCCTGTGTCCAATGTCCTCATTGTGGCAAGTTCCCACCTATGAGTATAGGAACATGTGGTGTTTGGTTTTTCTAATCCTTGCAAAGTATTTGCTCCAGGAATGATGGTTTCCACCTTCATCCCATGCTCCCTACAAAGGACATGAAACTCCATCCTTTTAAATGGTGAATAGTATCTCCATGGTGTATATGTGCCACATGGCTTGATGGGGATGGCACTGAATCTATAAATTACCTTGGGCAGTATGGCCATTTTCATGATATTGATTCTTCCTATCCATGAGCATGGTAAGTTCTTCCATTTGTTTGTGTCCTCTTTTATTTTGTTGAGCAGTGGTTTGTAATTTTCCTTGAAGGGGTCCCTCACATCCTCAAGGGATTCTTTTTCCTCAGCCTACCAAGTAGCTGAGATTACAGGCTCCCACCACCATGCCTGGCTAATTTTTGTATTTTAGTAGAGATGGGGATTTCACCATGTTGGTCAGGTTGGTCTCAAACTCCTGACCTCAAACGATCCACACGCTTCGGCCTCCCAAAGTGCTGGGGTTACAGGCGTGAGCCACGACACATGGACTAAAAAAGTTCTTAAAAATTTAAGTTTATAAAGTAAAAATGTTCTTTGGGAAGTTTGAGGCGGGAGGATCACTTAAGGCCAGGAGCTGAAGACAAGCCTGGGAAACATAGCAAGGCCTCATCTCTACTAAAAATTTTTTTAAAAATTAGCTGGGCATCATAGTACACACCTGTAATCCCAACTACTAGGGAGGCTGAGGCAGAAGGATCACTTGACCCCAGAGTTCGAGTTTACAGTGAGCTAATTGCACTCCAGTCTACACAACAGAGAAAGCAGCTATCTCTAGAATAAATAAAGTAAAAAAGTTACAGTTAACTAAGGCTAATATATTATTGAAGAAAAAAATAAATTTAGTGTAGCCTAACTGTATAGTGTTTATAAAGTCTATAGTAGTAATGTCTTAGGCCTTCACATGCACTCACCACTCATCACACTGACTCACTCAGAGCAACTTCCAGTCCTTCAAGCTCTGTTCATGGTAAGTGCCCTATACAGGTGTACCATGTTTTATCTTTTATACCATATTTTTACTGTACCTTTTCTGTGTTTAGATATACAAATTCCATTGTGTTACAATTACCTACAGTTTTCAGTACAGTAGCCTGCTGTACAGGTGTAGCCTAGGAGCCATAGGCTACCAAACAGCCTCAGTGTGTAGTAGGCTGTACCATCTAGGTTTGTATAAGTTCACTCTATAATGCTCACATGACAACAAAATTGCCTAATAACACATTTCTCAGAATGTATCTCTGTCATTAAGTGATACATGACTGTACTTAGATTTTCATCAAATTTTCACCACATAACTATGAGTCTGCCCATTAGGCAGCATGCAGTTAGATCTGGGAGTGTATAGGTATTATTTTTATTCCCGTTATGTTTTTTGTTAATATTCTATGAATTTTAACAGAACTTTCTTAATTTTCATGACATATAAAATGAATATCTAACACTGAAATTTGATCTTATGAAGACCACCCTCTCCTACTCCCCTATTCTTCCTTTTTCTAGTTGGCATCTCGTGCCTTTAGCTTGTAGCATTCATCCCTATACACGGTCTAATTGCAGTGTCCTCCTTGATGCCATTCTGGTAAAATTTAAAGGAAAACTTCACCGGCATTAATTTTTTTATTCATTAAAACAACAAACCTTGGCCAGGCGCAGTGGCTCACGCTTGTAATCCCTGCACTTTTGGAGGCCGAGGCGGGCCAATCACCTGAGGTCAGGAATTCGAGAGCAGCCTGGCCAACATGGCAAAATCCTGTCTGTATTAAAAATACAAAAAAAATTAGCCAGGCGTGCTGGTGCATGCCTGTAGGCCCAGCTACTCAGGAGGCTGAGGCAGGAGAATCGTTTGAACCCGAGAGGCAGAGGTTGCAAGTGAGCCGAGGTCACGCCACTGCACTCCAGTATGGACAATAGAGCGAGACTCTGTCAAGAAAAAACCAAAAAAAACCTCAACCAATGACAAATCTTAAAAAAACAGTATCAGCCACCAGTGTAGCCAGATATAATGAAAAATGTACAAAAGCTATTCACATTTGTGGGACTGAGAATTTGTTGTTCTAAAAGAGTACACTTAAAATGTACATACCAAACAAAATTCCTATTTACTCCAGTCATACGAAGTTAGTTTTAAATTTTGCATTATAATATACGTATTCAGTTTATTTTTAAGTTCAAGAATTAGAAAGCAGCTCTTCTAGAAAATTTAAAAATCAATTTTACCCAGTGACAGGACTAATGAGTGTTCCTAAATGATTTAATGAAGTCTTTTTAAACAAAATATCTGTATCATATTAATGATAAGCAACTAGAAGAAAAAAAGATGTCAAACATGAGAACGTAATAATGGAAAAGTATAAAAAAGCTAAAATTTCCGTTAAGTGTACCACATTTCTACTTTTGTATGGAGAATGGCTATTCATCTGACATAGCAAAATGCAGCCTCCTTACCAGTCACTGTTACAACATCATCTTTATGAGCTTCAGTCATTTCCTGAACATGGACTTCTGAGTTCACATCAACCTCTTTCCCTGATAACTGTAAATGAGCTTCAAGTGAAGATGGAACCTTGACAATAATAGAACCTGTAATAAATGTAAAGGAGAGTTTAGTAATATAAAGAAATCAAAAGTATCAGAGTCTATTATAAATTTGACTGAAAGGGTAGCATTGCTCCTGGGACACTGTTTTTACTCCTCAGCATACAGTATTTATTTAAACCTTTTCCTTATTCCCAGGTGCTCAAAGTTCCCTTACTCTCAAGGCATTCATGGTAACTTCCGTCAAGAATATGGGTTATTAGCACATTACTAACTACTAGTTCTTCTTTTGCCAGTAGAACTACCCAGCTCATCCAACACCAGAAAGTGAGTAATTTATTACACACGTAGCTTATAGATAGGATTTACCATTGAGCATTTAATATGAGCCAGACCCCTAATTACATTATGTTTTAATCCCCATATTAACTTTATGAGTTTTTTTTTTTATTATACTTTAAGTTCTAGGGTACATGTGCACAGCATGCAGGTTTGTTACATATGTATACATGTGCCATGTTGGTGTGCTGCACCCATTAACTCGTCATTTACATTAGGTATATCTCCAAATGATATCCCTCCCCTACCCCCTCCCCACAATAGGACGTGGTATGTGATGTTCCCCTTCCTGTGTCCAAGTGATCTCATTGTTCAATTCCCACCTGTGAGTGAGAACATGTGGTATTTGGTTTTCTGTTCTTGCGATAGTTTGTCAAGAATGATGGTTTCAAGCTGATATCCATGTTTCCCTACAAAGGATTACGAACTCAGTCCACTTATCTTTATGGCTGCACGTAGTACCTTCATGGGTATATGTGCCCTTTTTTAATCCAGTCTGTCCCTGATGACATTTGGGTTGATTCCAAGTCTCTTGCTATTTGTTGAATAGTGCCTGCAATTTACATAATGTGCCATGTGTCTTTATACAACATGGACTTATACTTCTTGGGTATTCCCAGTAGCGTAGGACCGGCTGGGTCAATGTATTTCTAGTTCTAGATCCTTAGGAATCGCCACACTCGTTTTCCACAATGGTTTCGAAATCAGTTAGCAGTCCACACACAGTTGTAAAGTGTTCTATTTCTCCACATCTCCTCAGGCACCTGTTGTTTCCTGACTTTTTAATGGTTGCATTCTAACTGGTGTGAGAATGGCATCTCATTGTCCGGTTATTGATTTGCATTTCTTGATAGCGCAGTGATGATGGAACTTTTGTTCAATGTGTTGGACTTGGCCTGTCATGGAATGTCTTCTTTTGAGAGTGTCTGTTCGTATCTCTTGCCCCCTTTTTGATGGGGGATTGGTTTTTTCTGAACATTTCGATTGAGTTCTCTATAGGTTCCAGATATTAGCCCCTTTTAGCATGAGTAGATCTGCAGACAATTTTTCCCATTCTGTGTAGGTTGCTGTACTCACTCTGATGGTAGTTTCTTTTTTCTTGTGCAGAAGCTCTTTAGTTTAATAGATCAGATTGTTCAATTTGGCTTTTGTTGTGTTGCTTTTGGCCTATGTTTGTACGACATGACGAGGTCCTCTTGCCATGCCGTATGGTGCTGAATGGGTATCACCTTAGGTTTCTTCCAGGCGTTTCTTATGGTATTTAGGTCTACATTTAATCTCTATCATTTTGAAATTAATTTCTCATATAGGAGTAAGGAAAGCGATCCGTTTCAAGCTTTCTACTTTAATGGCTAGCCAATTTTCCCAATTACCATTTATCAAAGGGAATCCCTTTCCCATTTCTCGTTTTTGTCAGGTTTGTCAAAAGATCAGCTAGCTGGTACAATGTGTCGGCTATTTATTTCTCTGAGGCTCTATTCTGTTCCACTCTGATCTATATTCTGTTTTGGTACAGATACCATTGCCTAGTTTGGTTACTGTGGCTTGTACTATAGTTTCGAAGTCAGGTATGCATGAATGCCTCCAGCTTTGATTCTTTCAGCCTTAGGCACTGTCTTGGCACTGAGGGTCTTTTTTGGTTCCATATAGAACTTTAAAGCCAGTTTTTTCCAATTCTGTCAAGAAGTATTGGTAGCTTGATGGGGATGGCATTTGGCAATCTCATAAATTACTTTTGGGCAGTATGGCCAGTATTTACGGATATTGATTCTTCCCTATCAATGGGCCATGGTATGTTCTTCCATTTGTTTGCTGTCCTCTTTTATTTCACTGAGCAGTGGTCTTGTAGTTCCCCTGAATGATCCTATCACATCCATTTGGTAAGTTGGATTCCTAGGTATTTTATTCTCTTTGAAGCTATTGTGAAATGGGAGTTCCTCATGACTTTGGCTCTCTGTTTGTCTGTCTACTGTGTATAACGAATGCTTGTGATTTTTGCGCATTAAGTTTTGTATCTGAACTCTGGCCGCAAGTTGGCTTATCAAGCCTTAAGAGATTTGGGAGTGTCGATGAATGGGGTTTCTTCAATAATACATCATGTCATCTGCAAACAGGTTGACAATTTCGGCGATTCTGTCTTTCACTGAATACCCTTTTATTTCTTTCCTTTGCCGTGATGCCTAGCCAGAACTTCAAACTATGTTGAATAGGAGTGGTGAGGCAGAGGGCCATCACCCTGTCTCTGTGCCCAGTTTTTAAAGCCCGGAACCATGTTCCGTTCTGCCGCCCCCAGCCTCTCCAGTACCTGATCTTGGCTGATGAGGTCTTGCTACCCCCTGCAACTCGCCTCCTTCCATCCTCTCCTTCTGCGCTCCGCTTCCCAATCCAAAAAACACCCCCCAGCTCCCCCACGACATTTACCTATCGAAGCACACCGCTCTCTTTGCCACACTGACAGGCGCTTGGTTATAATTCTTGGGCTCCCAACAAGCCCTATTTTCTGACCCTCCCATCTTGCACCCGCCTCCCCCACCTCACTCGTCGGTTTTCTCCGTCTCCATTGCCGTTCCCCTGACCCTTGACCCTCCAGGCTGCATTCTCACGCTTTCCTTCCGCATTCTGCTGCTATCGTTACCGACACCACGCCTCTGCCTCCAGCGGATGGACACCCAGTGTCCCACCACCTCTCGATCATCGCGCTCGGCATAAGCCTCTTTTCGCACCTGTGCTGACTGGCATTTCCCAGCCCTTGCCCGGCCTACTTCTTTCACCCACTTTGCAGCCGATCTTTCCCTGCCACTCCCACATGCCTCTCCATCCCGCGTACCTTGGTCCTAAAACCTTCTCTATTTTTTGTTGACCCCCCCTCTCTCTGTCAGCAGCTCTGTCCGCCACTCCAGGATCCCGACGAGTCCTGGCCACCCTCGTCAACCACCATGCCAGTTTAGGCGAGCGATCCTCTCTTCTCTTCCACTACCCTCCTGATTGGACATAGTTTCGACAGGACAACACTTCGCGTACCCACCAACCCCTCCCTT